AGAGCTCGAAAAATAAAGAATGAAGAGCTGTATAGAGCTTGAGAATTAGAAATAGAAAGTGAGGTTGTGAGAAAACGTTTTTCTGAAAACCAATCTGGTGTAAAAGCTTTCTGATGACTTCTATAGAAGCTCAAGAGAGATAGAAACTCTGTAGTATGAAGTGATGATTGGAAAGGAACAATCTGTAAAGTCTTCTACTGATTCATCTTGAATTGAATGTAGTCTTTTGTCAATAAAGGCTGAGGAAGAAATCTTCCTGTTAAAAAAATCTGTCTATGTTCTTCTATGTTGCTGAGTTTTCTTCTTGCTTTATTGTTGTAACATTCTGCTGGTGCTATTTTTCTTCTTTGTAATTCTGCATTAATCTCAGCTGGGGGAAGCCCAAATTACCCAACACATGGCCAATTTTTTTATTTGTGCATGCTCCGTTTCTACGAAATATGATACAATGGAGTTGTTTCTAGATCACGTAACGAATATAACTTTTGCATTAGTTGAACTTGACTACTACTCTCTGTTATACTAATGGAATCATAAAATCAGCAAAATAATAATTCGCTGAGGTAGATTTGGAATTATCTAATGACTTAAGGACCTGAGTAGACTTTACACAAATGAAACCTAAAGCTCAAAGAAGGAATTTCATGTTAACACACTAGGGGAAAAGCAATGAATGAAAAAACTATACTTTAAGCTCCAAAATATGGCCTCCTAGCCCTCCTCTGTGGACTTGTGTTCTGTGTCTAGAAGTCCTTCAAGAACTAGTAAAAGTTGAAGAAACCAAGAATACATTTGCCTGTTGTGTCCTAAAGTAGAGATCATCTAAAGTAGAGATCATCACTAGGTTCTTTTGCTCACTGAAAGGAAACTGCCACTGCCTCCCTCCTTCCTACCCCAAAATTGGAAAACCTGAGTAGAACCATTGTCAACCTGAGCTGGTGGCTACCGAGGCTGACACATACAGACACACCATAACATATTAATACTACTCCGCCCCCTCAATATGACTGGTCACCAGTAGTTCTTGGCTTCAACCTATTTTCGGAATGTAATTTAGTCTATGAATTTAACCCAATACAGGACGCAAAAATCATTATTCTTGATCTAATAACTTGGAGAATGACATAGGCAAAGCACTTCAGGTCAATACGTTTTATGCTGAATTACTTTTTGCTTGCCGATCTATTGTTGATGCATCTTCCAGTGTTATCTGTTCAGATGGAAGCTTTGACAACAAAAAGTTGTATAATCTTACTCACAATGCAATTGGTACACAATCCTATTCCGATTTGTAAGGGTTGTAGGACAAATCATCAGACATCAAATTGTCCTTTGGTTTCCACTTTCACATCCAACTCTGACGAAGTCAGCTACGTGCAGAACTTACAACGCTAGCAGAACAACCCCTAATCCACCACCTACAATTCGAGTTAGAGGAATCATCTGAATTTCTTTAGGAGGAACATTGAAACCAAAATCATGGCAAACTGATGGATTATTGAAGACAAAGAGGAGGGAAAGTATTCAATCACATTCATCAAAAAATGGTAGAACCCAACTGATACAAATAGCCATACTTTAGGTATTCAAAATGATTTTCTACCAACTATTCTACCTACTACCACTACACTTTGCTTGTCTATTACAACCACTTTCTTAAGCTAGACAATGATCATAAAACGTGTGACAAGTCAAGAACCAAAGATACAACTTAGTAACAACAAAAGTGTCACACTTAATTCATCACTCCTCCTTGACACTTTTGTTGGAAACACCAAGACATTTCCTTAGTGTTTCAAACTTATCTTTTGGCAGTGCTTTGGTGAAGATATCAGCTATTTGTTCTTCTGAGCTGCAATGCATCAACTTTACCTCCTTCTTTTCTTGTACTTCTCTAATAAAATGATACTTGATGTTTATATGTTTAGTCTTTCCATGGAACACTGGATTCTTCACAATTGCTACAGCTGATTGG